ACCAGTATCAGGCTGTTTTAACTACTGTGGTTGTATAATAGTGCAGGTAGTGTGAGGCCTCCCAATTTGTTCTTCTGCTTTAGTAATGCTTTACTTATCTGGGGCCTCTTCCCTTTCCCTATAAAGTTGGTGATTTGTTTCTCCATCTTGTTAAAGAATGCTGTTGGAACTTGGATCGGGGTTGCATTGTATCTGTAGATCGTTTTGGGTAGAGTTGACATTTTCACAGTATCGCGTCTTTCTATCCATGAGCATGTTGTTTTTCCACTTGTGTAAGTCTCTTTTGGTTTCTTTAGTTCCAGTTTTGTTTTAGATAGAGAAAGCGAATGTATAAATAAATAATTGCAGTCCTATACTTAAAATGTGATAATACTAGTTAATCCAGAATATAGTGAGGGAATGATCAACTCTAAGGCAATGAGGAGGGATCAAGAAAGCCCACATCAAAAAGGTAGAACTCAAGTTAGGATTAGACTGATGAATAGGTATTCACAAGGTAGGAAAGGAAGGAGAGGCATTTGGGGCAGACAGCACTTGGTGCAGACAATAGCACAGAACCACAGGATCATGGGAGAGCTTGATGTGGAGGAGGATTGTCAGTGTATGATTATTGGACTTTATCTTTTTCCTTCTGTTGTTGTTAGGTGTCTTTGAGTCGATTTCAACTCATAGCAACCCTGTGTGACAGAGTAAAACTGCCTCACAGGGTTTTCTAGGCTGTAATCTTTATGGGAGCAGATGTCCAGGTCTTTCACCCACGGACCTATTGGGTGGATTCGAACCGCCGACCTTCTGGTTAACAGCCAAGCACTTAACCATTGTGCCACCAGGGCTCCTTTGTCTTTTTCCTTCAGGTCCATGTATTTGGGAATCTGAGGAGGCCAGCAGAAGGCATTTGTATCCATACTTAAGCTGAATTGTAGAGGTAGAATGGTGAACCCCTGAAACTGGAGTGAGGGTGACAGCAGGAAATAAAAATCTTGTGTACAGTGAAACTAGGGGAAGGGTAGGGTACTGAATAGTAACCACTTGGTCAACTTTATCTCCCTCCTCGGGTGTCTTTCTCCATTACTAAAACTTCGTAGTTTTGGGTTGTGCACAAAGAATTAAGTTGGACTCCTCTCACTGTGTTTTAAAACAAACTTAAAATTCAGTATATTAATGCCATCTGAAAGCTGCACCAAACTCTATTAGAAACATCTTGGCCAGTGCTCAGCTTATATAATTTAGTTTTAAATGGGGGGGG